AACTGCAGACTCTTCATGAATTTTTGCCTTCCTAGGCATTCCCCATTCTCACACCTATAAGAAAGTAGATTTACAGTTTTACCTCTGAAAGACAAAGCATTGAGGGAAATCACTTGCTCATAATGAACAGCAGGGAACGAAATAGTCTTGAGACTTAGGCTGGAATCCTCTAGAGTGACTGACAGGGGCCCAGCCCACAGCATCTCTGGAGTGCTGCACAGCTTAGGGCCTGTTTACAAGGACTGACCCAGATGCCACCGAAGACTTCCTCAGGTGACTGACACAGACCTGGAAGGAAGCACCTAGGAGACCGTGGCAATGGCACAGGCCAGATTCCAGAAACAGTGAGGACTTAGTGTCTAAGATGACTGACTCAAAGCAGCAGACTGATCCACTGGAATGCCTGGGATGGACAAAGCCATACTTTAGGGCTTTCTGGAGTCACTCCATTCTGAAGTAGCCCAAGGCTGCTCTACAGTGACTGACACAGAGGAGGCCTTCTTCAAAATTTACACACACAGATGTTACTCACAGGAGGTGAGCAAAGGGAGAGTATGGGACTAGACCTGAAACCCGTTGTAAAGAGGATGGCTTACCAACAATAATGTGTCTTCTTTGTTATATTTGTAAGAGACAGGAAGGGAGATCAGGGTCTTGGGCAAAGGACATTGAGTTTTATAGAACTGGACAGATTAGGGAACCTGGGAATGGTAGGAAACAATAATATATGTGATGTGTTTTAAAATATTCAGTATATTTTATGTTATCTCATTTCATTCTTACAATCACTCTGTCAGGTAGGTGGGGAATTTACTAGAATTATGGTTCTACATATTTTTTTAAAAAGCCATAACTCAGAAATTATACCAGTAGCTAACTGCATTGCTGCTAACAAATAATAATTTATCAATCAGAACTTTGAATTGAACTTAGAACAGCAGTCTTAGCATTATGACAATGTGGACTGAAACCATCATTTATGTGACAATTTTGCCAAGTTCTATTTTATCTAATTTTTCTTTACTTAAACAAAACACCAAATCTCCAGTATGTTTGTGCTAAAAGGAGACACTTTGGACAGAGAGGTTCAGATGAATAGGCCCCACCGCAACCAAGTTTCTCCACCACTTCCCTACTTTCCCCCCCCTCTCTCTCTTGCAGTTGCAACCACAATTATCAAAATCTTTGCACTGTGCAGTACCTGAGGGAAACTATGTGAGTTTCCTGCACTGAAAAGACCCTTACAAACATAACTGCAGGTGCAGGAAGGCCATATTTAAAACCTTCCCAGGGACTCCTCCTTTGCCATTCTTACCCAACTTGGGGTGGGGGATAGGAAATTTAAAAACAGAAGAGAAAGGTGATGGGTATGAAAGAAAAATAGAGGAGAGAACAGCTCAAAAGAAAGAAATAGAAGGGGAAGGTTGGAAAGAGAGGAAGACAAAGGGAAGAAAATACAAAATTACGGCTGTGGGAAGGACATGGGTAAAAAGCGCTAAACCAGGTTTCCTCCTTGCGTTTCTTGCAACCCTGGGGCATTTGGAAGATGTACAAGGAGCATCTCAGGGAACAGGAGAAAAGGAAAAGCTGAGCAGATGTGGCTTTGAGGCCACATACTCACTGGATTTAAGAATCACTATTCCCTGACAGTTCTTAAAGGGAGGCAGTACCTCTGCTTTGAAAGTAAAGAACTAGAAATAATCATGTGTAATGCTCCAAACTTTATTAATGATTCATTTTTGAGATTTTCTGGATTTTTTAGCTTAAGAACCATTTCTTTCCAGGCCTCCTGTCACCCATTCGCCAGGGTCTAACTAGGGTCATACTGTTGAGTGCCGTTAGGAATCCTCAAACTATACCGTGTTTACAGTAGTTTAAAGTGCCATTGGTCTTGGATATACTTCATTAGATTGTTTTATGATCACTCAATGCTGCTTTACCAGAAGGTTTGATTAATATTTATGAAGTTGTAAAAATTTCAGTAATACCAAAAGAATCATAACAAGGGGCTGGAGAGATGGCTCAGTGGTTAAGAACACTGATTGTTCTTGCAGAAGACCCGGGTTAGAATCCCAACACCCACATGGCAGCTAAAAACTGTCTGTAACTCCAGTCCCAGGGGATCCGACAGCCTCTTCTGACCTCCGTGGGCATTGCACGATATGGGTGCACTTACCTACATGCAGGCAATACGTGCATACACATAAAATAAAAATAATAAATAAATTTTCTTGGAAAAAGGAAAGAAAGGAGAGAGAGAAAGAGAGAGAGAGAGAGAGAGAGAGAGAGAGAGAGAGAGAGAAAGACTAAGGTTGCTTTTAAAAATATTTATTTATTTATTTTGTGAGTGTATGTATGCATGGGTCTTGTGAAAGTCAGAAAACAACTTGCAGAGCTGGTCCTCTCCTTCCACCATGTGAGTTCCAGGAATCAAACTCAGGTCATCAGGCTTTGCAGCAAGCTCCTTTACCTGATAACCCAGATGGCCCATCCTCACCTTGGCTTTTTAATGATTGTCCACATATGGAAGAAAAAGAAAGGGAAGTTGCCATTTGAAAATTATCAATAATAAAATGTCAAAAATAGATTATTTCTACTCTTTTATTATCTCTTCAATCTTCTTATCATATATTGCATTAGTTTTGGTGTATGGAGCAGAAGGAAGAAAATTTCAACATATTCGTATTATTGATTAAATTAATAAAACAATAAGAAGTGAAGGTTAAAGGGGATTTAATCTAAATCTGCTAATGAAATTTCTTATGCTAATTATTTTCTTATGTTTCTATTTTCTCTATTTTGAACATAATTATGACAAGAATTGTTGACTTTGAATGATTTTCTAAAAAATATTTTAGTTATTAGCCAATAGTGCCTTAGGTATGGTTAGGATGTCTTACCCATCTGGTTTGAGTTTACAATGGACTTGTGCATGTCGTCACCACTGCTATGAGTTCATATGAGTAACTTCCCAACTTTCCAGAAAACTGTTTCCTTGTGGTCACCCACCTCCTCTGGCTCTTATAATCCTTCCTTCCCCTCTGCCACAACGATCCCTGAGCCTTGGGGGACAGAATTTTGATATAGGTGTCCTATTCAGTGAAAAGTAGTCTAGCAATGTAAAAGCCCAATGCCAGGAATGGACTCCCTCTTTTGAAACTGTTGACCAAGTATTCCATAGACCCTCAAACAATACTGGCCATTGCACCTGCTCTTGGTTACCCACCATAACTTCAAGGAAGACCCTAATGCTAAAGATACTACACACATGAGCTAAAGAATAAACAAAGAACATTCAAGCTGGTGCTGACTTCAAAGCCTCATCTCTACTGGCTTGTTTTCAGAGTGCTGGAAGGTGTTATGTAAGCTACCTGAAGAGAAAAATGTTATCATCATCGGCTTTACCCAGATATGAATCCTGTGAACTACAGTAACAACTGGCCTGGAAAGGTATGCCCCCCTGCGCAATAGTGGCATGAGTATTATAGGAGTAACCAACCACTTTCTAGTGGAATTAAAAATCAGCTTCATAGAATGGAGCCCATACTTGACATTGCTATCAGGCCTAGGAACCTGAGGCTAAACAGCTAACAGACCTTGAGTCAGAGCCTAATAGTATTATTCTACTAGACAGATATAGTATTAACTGACTTATAATGACTGTTATATCTACAGATCAATGCATCTCCAAACTGTCAGCAGAGAAGTTTCCTTATATA